TGAAAACCCAAGACATATGATCATCATCTGCATAGAAAATTGATTTGATGAGAGTTCAGTGGGTTAAAAAAATATATGTATATAATGCCCACTCTGACAATTTCCACCTCTCTCCTTCTCCTGTCCAGACCCACACAGCTCATTCTGATCCGACCACACATTGCTGGTCAAATGAATATTGTGCTTTCCCTTTCTTCCTTCTATTTATGTTTGTTACTTTTTCATCTTCTCTTCTACTTTCCTTGTTATTCTTGTTCCTTCTACTCTCAAGAGAATATATGAAAAGGTAGGATATCAGTGGTAGTGAAATTATTTCTAGGTCTGTGGATTTGGGGAATTTTAGTCATAAAAATTAAAAAAGAATTGAAAACAGGTAATGGAATTGTTTTCTGTTGATCTTCCATGCTCACAATGCCCAGTTATATTCCTATTCCAGTCCCTCTGCTCAGAGAATCATCCTACAGTGGATTTATAGAGTTATGGGCTCCAGCTTTTGAAACTTTGGATAGAATGGCAGAACTGAAAACATGAAATGAACTCTACACAAATACTACCCCTCCCCTCCCCACCTTTGCTGTCTATAATTTGAGTGGCTCACACCATCTCTGGTTTCCTCTCACCCATTCAACCCTCTGGGACCATCAGAAAAGTCATCCTTTCTTGTAAAGACTAGAGTGCCCCTTAGTGGACTGAAACCATCAACAAGGACCACTTCAGACCAACTAACAGCAGTCACACAACCCCAGTAACATTCACTCCATGTTTCCTGATGAAGGAAATGCAGATGGTCAGAAAACAAAGTAACTGCCTAGATTGAACAGGGAATTAAAAATGAACCAATTCCTACTTGTAAAATATTATTTGGTGGAAATTAATATCTCAAAACAATTGATAAATCTCATCTTGTACTATTTGTTTGATTTCTTTACCTTAGTCCAAAATAAATCCACAAACATTTATTGAGGTTTCAGTGCAAATAGGGAAATTTACTAGGTCTTAAGAATACATAAAAGAGGATAACACACTAGTATACAGTCTACTGGGGAAGACAAAAATATATATAACTATAACAGAGTCAAAGAGAAGGACCCTAAGAGGAGTGAGAACTAAAAGCTGCCTGATCCCAGACAAGGGAGAAATACTAACACTTGGGGTGGTTGGACAAAACCTTATGAAGAAGGTGTCACTTCCTCCTTTCCTCCTTTTTGGTGAGAAGAATAGAGGAAAATATGAATGAACTTTTCTGATGGTTTATCACTTTTTATTAATTTTAACAAAAGGATAAATATATGAATTATTAAATGCAATAAAACATTACATATAGACTAAAATCCCCTTAACTACCGCTCCCAATTTTGACACTTTTACCACCATTACCCTAATTCTTTATTCGTCTTAATCAATTTGGATTTATGCTCCCGGATATTTTGCTATAGGTTTGAATCAACAGAAAATATGTAGCATTTTATTTATAGTTTTTATTTAATGCAAAATGATACATATTGTTCATACCTTTCTGTAACTTGCTTTATAAACTTGATAATCAATCCTGTGTGTCCTATTGAATTAACACACAGAGGACCCTCTGCTCCACTGTATTCCATATTACGGATATACTACCATTCATACAGCTTTTCTCCTATTGATGAACAGTTAAGATGTTAATTTTTTTAATCTATGAAACACAGCACTGCAATAAACATTTTTGAGCATTCCTCTTTATTCACACGTGCATGTTTCTCTAAGAGCAGAGACTGGGAAGAAGTGAAGGGATGAGCCATGAGACTAGTAGGGGCCGGCCCGGTGGCTTAGCGGTTAGATGCACGCGCTCCGCTGCTGGCGGCCCAGGTTCGGATCCCGGGCGCACACCAATGCACCGCTTCTCCGGTCATGCTGAGGCCGCGTCCCACATACAGCAACTAGAAGGATGTGCAACTACGACATACAACCATGTACTGGGGCTTTGGGAAATTAAAAAAAAAAGGAAGAGGATTGGCAATAGATGTGAGCTCAGAGCCAGTCTTCCTCAGCAAAAAAGAGGAGGATTAGCATAATGTTAGCTCAGGGCTGATCTCCCTCACAGCTGCAATTGTGCCATCATTGATTATATTAATAACTCTTCAAATTCGAAGTCCTTCTAAAAATTCTGTTACTATAGACTAAATTGTAAAGCTAATTTCCAATAACTTGTAGATAAAATAAAAATGGAAAGGAGAGAAGAAAATATTTAGCATATACATATAAGCATATACGTGTATAACAAGCAACTAGATATGCAAAAGTACTACAGTCTTTGTTTCTGTAATTGGCCTCAAGGCTGAAATTGAAATCTGTGGCTTCCTTCATCCATCCCTACTCTGTATTTCCCCTTCCCTCAGCCAAAACCTTCACTGTTCTGGGTTCTTTTCCTGGTTGAGTAACCCAAACCTTTATTCCAGAAAGATCTGCGTCCTCAATAGTCCTGTTTTGTTTCAAGTTGCTGCAATTTTTCATTAACTTTACCATTGGGTGTGAAAATACTAAGGGGCTCCAAATATATTGCTTCCGTTGTATAGGAGCAACCCATGTCTTCTTGTTAATCAGCATCAATCCCTCCAGCCAATAGACTTTTTTCTTCCATGTTGGTTCAATGGCCAAGGATCCCAAAATGTCTAGGAGGTAGTCTCATCATCCATTGAGTGGAGCCATTTTTTGTCCCTTGGTAGAAAAATTCTTCCATTAGGAACTAAGATCTCCAAATCAACACAGTGTAAAGTTACCAGGAAGGGAATCTAAAAGTCTATTAGTGGGTTATTAGGAGTAATAGTGAGAGGAGCCACTCCCGCTTTTTGATTCCCAGACCCTCGTATTCTGGCTTTGTGGGTAAAAGCAACATATAGTAATGGTTTCTGACTCAAAGTACATGCTGAATCCTATTAAACAAAGCCCCATCCTGTCAGGGCATTGTCTCCCAACTGGCACTGTAACTCAGTCTTCTGTAAGCTATTCCACCTTTCAACAAGGCCAGTGGCTTCTGAGTTTTGGGGTATGTAGTAAGACCAGTTAATTATATGAAAAGTGAGAATTATTAATTTCATTGATAAAATAACTCAGGATTTTCACTTTATTCTGAATATAATTCTTTTTTTTTTTTTTTGATTTTATTTATTTATTTTTCCCCCAAAGCCCCAGTACATAGTTGTCTGTCATAGCTGCACATCCTTCTAGTTGCTGTATGTGGGACGCGGCCTCAGCATGGCTGGAGGAGTGGTGCCTCGGTGCGCACCCGGGATCCGAACCCGGGCCGCCGGCAGCGGAGCGCACGCATTTAACCGCTAAGCCACGGGGCCGGCCCCGAATATAATTCTTTATTATAGAAACTTTCTCATAAAAATCATATAATGACATAAATAAGTAATAAATTATTAAACAAAGAAGAGAAAGGAGGGAGGAAGGAAGCCTACTTTGATTTCTCAGGCAGAGTTAGGGTTGGGGAGTTGGGGGTGTGATCTCCCAGCTGCTTGGGGTCCTTGGTGTAGAACTTATTTTTCTTCAAACTCAGCTTGAGTACAGAATCAAAAGAAATGGGTAGTTCTCCTTCTCATACCAATCTGCATCAAGTGCCCACTATATTCCCTTTGGGCAATGTGGTTCAGCCGATGACAGTGACTCACCTGAAAATAGTCAGAGGTAGAAAAGAGTGTGGTCCAAAAATAGAAAGAAAGGGAAAGATGGCGAGGGACATTAAATGAGAATACATTTCTTATTCATAATTTTCCGCCTCTAACACCCCATGTACTTTCCTTATACCCTTCCAGCAATCACTCAAACACATTTATTACATATAAGCATATCACTATGTCCTAAAATTTACTGTTGATCTCCTGGTTCACCACTTGGATAACTTGCACTTATAACAATCTACTTATTCTCTCTCTGTTTTGAGGGCTCCTACACACCTATCTTCTTACCCCTTGTAGTGTAAGCCAAATAGCAGCTAGAAAGCTCCCCCTCCTCCTTCTCCTCTTTCTCTAGACTATTTTTTAAGCTCCAAGTCTTCAAGAACACAAATACTATAAAATATTCTTATACAGTTCTTTCCATCCTACCCAAAAAAGTTTATACTGGGTCGTAAGTTTATACTGGGTACAGTGACCCCCTAGTATCTACTTCAATTCTTATCAATATTTCTAGCAGAGTTTGGCATTGCTAAACCTATTACATGATTAATTAGGACAATGTTAACATATAAGAATCAATCTCTAATATTCCAATAGTCAAATCATACAAGAACAGAGTGAAAGCAAGGAGAAAAAACGTCCATAGCTAGAAACAGCAAAAGAGATTATATCCACAAATTTCTGAAGTAGATTTGTAGAATTTAAGATACAAAAAGAAGAGGAGGCTACTTTTGTAACAGAAAAAAATCTTTGGACAAGCACTGATAAATTTTAAATCTTCATTCTCTTGCACTGTTCTTAAACAATTGCCAGAACTAACATGACCATGAGAGTTTTCTAAGCCCTAATCAGTCTCCTACTGCTGAGCAATAGTTTCTCAGAATCCCTCCTAAATAGAGGTACTTAAACTCAGAGAAAATATCCTGACACATTATCACCAGCACAGTGAGACCTAGGGAAAAAAATTCCAAGAAAATTGTCTAAGAATGACCAAGTAGGCAAAGAGGCAAACTTTGCTGGGAAAGCACATAAAAAGTTCATCTTTTGTTTTCTGGGTTGTGTGAGAGATAAAATGATAAACGAAAACCCACATAGTCAACCCCTTAAAGCAGTCAACCACAAGGCAAGTCCTTGAGCACCTGATTACTATGCGATAAGAACACTGTCTCCTTCACCATTCTAAAGACTAACTAATTATTATTATGTAGTTTCTACAAAGAGTAAAAATCTTCTGACGTAAAGTTTATCAGATATGGAATTGTAGGGTTGCCTAGATGTACCTGGGTCTGCTGGTCTGCTCAGGCGCCTTTGCGTCATTTGCCATCATATAGCAAGAGATCATTAAAAATACCACACAAAGAGATCTTGAGTCTCAGAAAAATCCACTGCAGTGAATGGATTGTGTTCAGCTCCCCCTGCAGTCTCGGGCACTGTGTCACTCAGAGCACAGAAGTACTCAGCGGAGTCGCTCCAATGGGCTGAGGATTTCTTCAGGTTGAAGGAAGAGTCACTTTTCCTAAATTCAGCCTCAAAGCCTTTAATGCCTTGAACCAGGGTGTCCCCTGAAAAGTGCTTAATGAGAAGCTGGAGGCCTTGGCTGGGGTACTGGATGTACCAGAAGAGATAAGGAGTTGCACCATAGGAATAGTTGCACCTCAGCTCCAGTGAGGCTTCTTCAGAGACCAAGACATGGCCATCAGGCTGGGTCACTGACTGGGCTCTGGTGTCTCCTGCAAAATCAATGTTATATCAGTGAAAGCAGTACAGACTTCCTTACGAAAAGTAAGTATTTCTAGTCAGAATCTGTAGAACTATAGACCATTATGAAATTTTACACACTCAGAGCAAATATCATCCCCTGTATTGAGATGAGCAAGAGGAGCATGGCTGAGCAGTGGAAATGCTGTTGGCTCTTTTCCGTAAGATCTCCCCTGAGCAGGCAGGAAACTGGCCGCAAAAACCAAGCCCTTGGAAATAGGAGTTGTGGGGAAAGTTAGGTTGGACGAGTTTCTTGCTTAGATAAAAATACCCGAGCTGCTGAGATGAGCCTGGATGCTCTCTGACTTCTGATTCTTGTCACTTGTCTCTGTCTGCAAACCCAGCCAGCTGCAAGGAGGAGGGGCTGGGCAGATTATACTGATCAACATGACCTCTAGTTTGTGCAGTATCGCCCTCTGGAGGCCAAGCGCAGAACCAAAGGTCCCAAAGCCCCACCAAGAGGTAATTAGTGCGTTCCTTCTATTTTCCGAATATATGAAAACTTTCACGCAATGTGTTTCTTCCTTCCCAAATCTTCCTTCCCAAATCTCCTAGAGTCCGTTAGAAATGAGATGTCATATAAAAATAGACTAACAAGTTACTTCACTGAGAAATCCGTTTTTAAAGTTTATCAGCAGCCAGCCCCATGGCCTAGTGGTTAAGGCTCAGCAGGCTCCCCTTCGGCAGCCTGGTTTGGGTTCGGATTCTGGGCGTGGACCTATACCACTGCTCAGCCATGCTGGAGCGGTGACCCACATGCAAAGTAGAGGATGATTGGCACAGATGTTAGCTCAGGGTTGATCTTCTTCACCAAAAAATAAAAATAAAAAGTATATCAGACTTGGAATTAAGTTCATGAGAGTCTTTGGAATCAAACCAATGGCTTCAGACCGAGTTTTGGATGGTCCAGTGCTGCCATGGTGGTGATGGAGGATGACAGAGGAATTTCACTTGGCTGACGCTCATGCACGGGCATAATACTTGTGAAACCTTTTAGAGGAAAAACAGGGCCCATAAAATGAGAGTAGTGCTGCTATATGGCAAGGAGTAACTCTGGGTGGGAAGCTATTGCCCTAAGGCTGAAGGAAATGAGCTACAGAAACCTCTGTGACTAAAGGAAATAAACCACACCAAGAGAGCACTCTCTGAAAACCTGAGAATGGAGAAAGTCTCTGCTTTCTCTGAGGCCAAAGGGCCCCTTTGACAAAAGTCAGAATACTCTTCTTTGATTCCAGGATCATGAGCCCAGCCATCTCCTTGGGTTCTTCATTCACTTGTTGCTTCCTGTCAAGACTACCTTTCACATAGAAGATTTAGTAACGCTGTCAATTTGTGAATTTGTAGTCCATGAGTGTGGACTTCTGATTCCAAGGGGTGTATACTCATCTCCCATCTCCTCCAAATTTCCTCCTAACTAAAAGAATAGAAATATAAAAGGGAATAAACCAAAATCCGTAAGAGTTAAAAGAATAGAGATCATCTGGAGATGAGAGATTTACACATATTTCCAGAATACAGACAGCAGATGGGATCAAAACGAGGATTAATGTTAAGACAGAAAAAATATAGTCAGAGATAAGCTATGAGGAGCAATTCCTGCTGGCTTTCAGGCTGATAGTCCTTTTAACTCCTCTCAACGTTGCTGGGCATTGGCAAAGCCCAGCAAACACAAAGTCAAAGGCAACTGCATTGTTTCATGTCTTGGAACAGTGCTGTTTCCTCTGCTCTGGGAGAATGCAAAGGTATTCTCCAATCTTCGATGGTGGGAGAAGCAACATCTCATAGTTGAGAAAAATAAGATCGGAAATAGAATATTCTTCTTAAGGATGTTGATGGGATTCTAAGAAATATATTGATTGCCAGGAAGATTAAAGAGTCTTCACAGACAGCCCAGAAAACAAAAAACCATGGCTCATTAAAAACAAGCAAAAGTTAAGAAATTTAAAAGAGAGAAAGAGAAACTTGAAAACAAAATAGCTCTATTTTAAGTACTGAAAGACACAGCCTTTGAATAGTTGCACCATACCTTAGCATGTTCTTGGAAATTGGTGCAGAATTCAGAAATTTTTTGATTTTAGAAAAAAAATTGCAGTACTTAAAGCATGGGTGAAAACAACTGAGCATTCTCCTTTTCCAGCACCAGAGGAAAATTTTCATTAGTTTGGAGAATGAGAGGACAAAGACCCAGAAAATCAAGACTTTAATCAAATGATTCTAATCATCTTGATAAGAAAAACACATTTACAATAGGGTTTAACTAAAGGAGGATAATAAAAATAATAGTAGAGAAAAAGTGGCAAACAGTCATTCTTGACGAATATTATAGAACACCAGAAGTTAACGCAGGAACTTAGCCTAGGACATAGCTTTAGGAATCCATCTCTCCCACTGATTACAAGTAAAACTGAACAAAATACAAAAAGTGACTGCCTGTGGACTGTGAAAACTGTACCAAAGGAGGCATATTGTATAGGGGAGTCAAAAATTGGAGAAGCCATCTGCAAAAAGGAGAATTTCACATTTTCTCTCTTTTTTTAGCTTTGATCTGATGGCAGGCCCCTGATAGCAGGGTGGCAATGACATAGGAAGCTAAAGCTCTGAATGAAACACAATTTTTCTGGCCCTGTGGGCTGGGCTGGAGTGGGGAGACTGAGGAAAGACATGAATAGCAGCTTAAGTCCCAAGCTAATCCCAAATCTCCACACACATGGGGCAGACCCAAACCACAATAACAAAGCTTAGATAACTGAGCTGAATTTGAACCACTGTCTAAGTCTCAGACCAAGCCCTGAGCGGCACACATGCAGGTCAGACTCAAACCAATGCAGCAGTAGTATCAGGAGCTGACCTGAGATTTGAGTCCCCCAAACAAGTTTCAGACTAATTCCTGAGCTACATATGTCTGGGAAAGACCCAAACTAACATAGCAAATCATCAGAGAACTGAGCTGAGATTTAAATGAGGGACAAAACACAGTCTAAAGCAAACTAGCTTGATTTACTGCTAAAACCAAAGCATCTACATTCTCCAGAGGATTAATTTAAAAAAAAAAAAAAGAATTTATGCAATGTAACATTTAAAATGTTTAAGATGCATTCCAAAATTATTCAACATACAAAGAACCAGAAAAATTGACTAATATCCAAGAAAAAAATAATCAACAGATGCAAATGTCAAGATGACTAAGGTGCTAAACTAATAGACAAAGAAGTTACAGCAACTCTTAACTATATTTCATGAAGTAAAAGGAAGCACACTTGAAATGAAAGATAAGATAGAAATTCTCAACAAAGAAATGGAAAGTACAAAAAGAAGCAAATGGAAATTTTAGGATTGAAAAATACAATACATGAAATAAATTCTCATAGTAAGGGCTCAATAGCAGGATGGAGATGACAGATAAAATAGTAAGTGAACTTGAAAATAGATCAGTATAAATTATCTGAGTGATTACCAACCAAGGGTGACTTTGCCTCCTCCAAGGAGACATTGGCAAATCTGGACACACTTTTGGTTGCCGTGAGTTGGAGGTGGAGTGCCACTGTCACCCAGTGGGTAGAGGCCAGGGGTACTTCTAAAAATTCTACAATTCATAGAACAGCCCCCCACTAAACAAATATTCAGTCCAAAATGTTAATAGTGCCAAAGTTGAGAAACTCTGATCAAAATTTGAAGAACAAGAGAAAAAATTGAAACAAAAAATGGAGAGAAATTTGGAGACCTGTGGGACAAAATCAAAAAGTCTAAAATATATGCATTATAGTCCCAGAAGGACAGGAGAAAGAGATTGGAGCAGAAAACATATTTGAAGACAGAATGGCCAAAAACTTGCCAAAATTGATGAGAGACGTAAATGTACAAATTCAAGAATCTAAGCAAACCCCAAACAGGATAAAATTAAAGAAAATTACACCTAAACACATCATAATTAAACTATGACAACCAAAGATTATATGATAATATAATATGTAATATATGTCAAATAATGTATATATAAATATGTTGGCTATAGAAAAACACTAGTAATTCATTGTCAAATAAATTTGTTTGATGAAAATATTAGTAGCTTTTTTGTGGTAGCAGTAATAGGTTTTCCTACTCCTTTATTAATTTAGCAAATATTTGAAGAGATTTTATTATGATGTGGTCACTATTGTAATTGCAGAGAATATAACAATTTTGCTTTAATGTGCATGGAGAACACCAGTCTATGCCTGCCATGTAATTTCCCTAAAAACTGTAAGAAATGTTCTGTCTTCTCTTTTTATATGTGCGCTCGTATGTAGGACTCTCTCCTCCTTTGTTATACTTTTTCCCTTAAGAAGCTATTTTTTAAAAAAAAGAATCTACTGTTTCTTGGGCTAAAGCTTCTCTAGAAGTCACCTGTTCTTGCTCCAGCTTGTTAGAGAGACATTAAGCTTTTGCAACCTCATCTGTTACAGGTGTCTCTCTAAACAAAATATTTCCCTCAATGATCTGGAACAAGGTCAGGGGGCTAGAATTTTATGCAAAGATGAACACATATACCATTTCATTCACCTTGAGGTTCTATACTTTTATAATCACAAATTTCAGCTGTGATTCAGGAACTATGATGACATATTCTGTTTTCACTCTCACCATTAAAGTGTCTTGTATGAGGGATGTTTGCATCTTGTTCTTAAGCTGTGTTCTTCGCGTTGTTTTGGATGACTTCCACATCAACAAGAATATATGGGGAGGATGGTGGTTGACAACAACAGTAGACTAGCTCCTGGTTCCTAAACCAGAGTGGATCATAAGGTCACACACTCAGCAGCCAGGCCCCTTGTTGCTGCTCAGAGTTTGTGCTCAGCGCCCCCTGCAGTTCCTGTCACTGTGTCACTCAGAGCGCAGTAGTACACAGCAGAGTCTAACTTTTGGACTGAGGCCTTCTCCAAGTGGAAGGAGGTGGTTTCTTTATTAAATGTGGCTTCAAAACCTTTGTTTCTTC